TTGGGCCATAAGGGAGAGTACTTGGGCCCAATAACTAACAAAGGTATTTGTTATGTTTTAGGGAAAGGAGTCCCAAGCCATCCGAGGAGTACGCTTTTGGCACACACGGTTGAGGTGAGTTACCTTCCCGTATGAGTGGGTCGAAGGCACCAATGCTGGTCCACTAGTAGTTGTTGTAGTAGAGATGATTGTTTTTGTGTTAATTGTCTGACTTGCCACTATCTATTATGTTTTATGTGCTTAATTGTTAGGATATTATGTGTTAGTGGTAGGGGTGAAATAGACTGATATTTTGTTGAAATAGACCGAAGAGGAGGCCAACACCCAGATATGCTCGACAATATCTGATTGAAATAGATCGAAAGGGAGGCCAACACCCAGATATGCTCGGTAGTATGACAGAGAGAGAGAAAGAGAGAGTAGAGATAAAGAGAGAGAGAGAGAAGGGTGTAGGGTATGATGAAGGTGGGTTGAGTAGGCCCGTTCATTATTTTTTAATTATTTAAAGATTCCAACTTTTCATATATACAAATTTTCACATGCAATTGAAGCTTCGTCGTAGGAACCACTGAAATGAGGATAGGGAGTCGAGGTATAGAACGGAGAAGATGGGGGGTCGATTGCGTCGTGAGATATGGAGAACAAATGTGCCGGCCTTGAGATAGAAACGATCATAGAGTTGTGTTGTGAAATGAAAGAAAGGTAATACTTGTAAAATGACACTTTCTTACATAGTAAGAAATTAATTCTATCATCTTTATTAAGAAATGTGTTTTACCCCATTTGATGAAAAGAAATTCATTTATGATTCAAATTCTATGATACAAATTTGAACCAAAAACCGAAATGTGTTGAAATTTGATTTATTTTCCCTCGAATTTCATTCTATTTCAGCAAACCAAACACACCCTAAAAATGTAAAACAATCTGTTTAGGGACGAAACCACAAAAATAATTTGAAACACCGATGCAAGTTGATATATTTTTAAACTTCATCGATACTGACCCAACTTGACCCATGTTTTAAACCTCTTAATTGATAAAAGTTTATCTAAAGTTTGGTGATTATAAATATTGAATCGGCCACCTAAACCTTAACACAGGTTCAAGTGATGAGGTAATCACATGGGAATTGTTCTGGTTCAACATACCCATATTACTACTAAACCCACTTCTACCAACTCTGTTAACTTCATACATAAAAACATGTATACAAACTGAACCAGATCATCGATCAAACAGTACTGAAACACTATGGCAGATCAAGAAACCACAGAAAACCCTACTGCCACACGAATCAAACAATCAATTTCAGTTCCTTTTCTCTGGGAAGAAAAGCCAGGAACACCGAAACCAGGATGGAAGCGCGTTAATCCTATCATGCAACTGCCTGTTAAACTGATTGCTTCAATTCCGTTTACATGGGAAGAAAAACCAGGAACACCACTACTTACTCCTTTTTCCCACACCAAGATTACCATGCCTTCTTCTTCACCACGTCTGCACCACCACAGCAGAAACAACCCGTTTTGCGATTCGGATTCTGATCTTGAACATCAGGAACTTCATGTTTCAGAACCTGAGATGGGAGTCATTTACTCATCACCAAAACACCATAAAAACAATCCGTTTTGCGATTCTTCTGATGACGAGCTTGAGCATGGTGAAATGGCAGAATCGAAATCCGATAACATCAGTGGCTACCTTCAAGCCCCTTCATCGCCAGCTTGGGAAACCGAGAGTATGGCAAGCAGCTGTGAGACTGGTACAACAACGCTAGCTGGATCATCGTTCTTGGAATGCATGTTTCCGCTTTTGACCCCGAAAGCTGGTTTCTTTGAAACCGTTGGTGGTTCAGTAAATAGGGCTCCACCAACGAATTCTTGTACTCAGATCGTTAGCTATGCCGCAGAGAGTAAGCCATTGACACTTGGTGAGCTGATTATGATGAGCCGAAGAAGAACTTATCTCCAGAAAGTTGTCGAATCACATCAAAGCAATCATTCAACGGTAATTATATATCCTCGTTTTAAACATGTTTGAATCATTGTTATCAATCATTTATTTTGATGGTATTAATATTACTTGCAGGAATTGATGATGAGAAATGGATTTGGATGTTGCATTGACGTTGGAGGACTGCAGAAATTGAAGAGGCAGCTGCAGCTAAAACTGATATAGGACTTCTATTGAATCACTTCGTTGGTGTATGTTCGTATTTTTTTTTTTTTTAAATGTTTCGTAATTTCAGAGTATATGTGATGTTGTGAAGAAGTTCTACATCTATGGTTCCGTAATGCAAGTTTACTCAATTTGGCCCTTAATCATACAATTATACTATTAAAGTATTAAGTCATGCATGCTATAACACTACGTACAATATTAAGATATTGCTCCATAATCATTATGGTTCACACGTTTAGAGTAGGAAACAACATGAAAGTTGGATCAAAGAAAAAAAGAACCTTCTCGTAATCAATGATTAAATTGGCGAAAACATCCGTAACAAGTTGACATGTGTTGAAATAAAATGAACTAGCAAAATCACTTTTTGAGACCTTTTCCCTAACAAATTAATTTTGTTATATATGTATAACTACAATAACTACCAGCTACATCCAACGTAATTAGTGGAGGGAGTGGTGAAAGATGGGTTGCGGGATGCCATTGCCATAGCTAGGTAACGCGCGCCGGTACGTAATTAAGGTAAAACCATTCTACCCCTTCTGGTACTATACGCAAGAATTTGAAGCTGATGTGACTTTCTTAAAATACTCAACCTTCAAAGTTTCTTCATTGGTTTGTTGTAATTTATGCTTGTATACTTGTACCAGAGTGTTTGGGTTAAGAGGATTACGTTTTCACATGCTTAGGAATGGAAGGGTTGGAAGTGAAAGAAAATAGAAATATTGATATGACAATGTAGGTTGGGAGGGATGAACTCTCTCGACCAAAAGAAATAAGAGCGTCTCTAATATGAGATCAGTGAAAATGTCGAATTATTATACGAACTAAATGTTTTTTACTTTGTCTTTAATACAAGTAACCACCCTCTTTAATTATAATCAATGATATTTCATTTTACTCATTAATTATTTTTTTAAGTTTGTCATCTATTAAATTCTTAAGTATAATATAATATTTTTGGTACTTTTATATATATATATATATATATATATATATATATATATATATATATATATATATATATATATATATATCATTTTCCGTATTTTCATAAAAAAGAACTTGAAAATGTTTAATTTAATTATCAAAAATTTCATTTTATACTCTATTATTTTTATTAAATGTTTTTGTCGTGTAATCATTTCGTATAAATGATGATATATTAGTTAACTATAGAAAAAAAGACTTTTATTAAATGTATTTTTTTCATGTGCAAATGTCCACTCTTTTGTTTTTGTATTTTTTAATTAAGATTTTACTATTTCCAGTAAAATTACACGTATTAAAATAAAATTAATCTGCAAGTGATTTAGTTGAAAAAAAAAATCACAGATCCAAAATAAAGATATCGTCAATAAATGCTGATTAATTTATTTACCTTTATAGCGTAGTAAATGTTTTGACATATTTGTCAAAGTCAAAAGAAACTAGCGTTTCAAATGGGTCCACAGTTTGAAAAGGTGTTCTTGGCGCTAAATAACCACCGATGTATACATACTTGCCACCCTGTATCTATCCATCCTTCCATATACAGAAATCTCACCATTAATTGCAACATTTAGGGTTTCTTTCTCCTAAGAAATCTCCAGAAAACCTTGTTTCACATGCTCTTCTGGGTTCTTCTCCATTCTCATTTCTTAAGGAGTGTTTGGAATAACTTTGGCGCCAGAAAATAATGGATGAAGTACAGGAGATGATGGAAGCTTTAGCTATAAACGAATCATCGTTCTATGAGTATGTTGATCTTAAATACGAGTTCGATGCATGTCAGTTCTTTGATTTTTCTGTAGATGAAACGGATTACGATGTACAAGAAGCAGAACGCTGGTTTAGATATGCTCGTGAATATCCACCTGCTCGTAAGCACCTCAATTTCATGATTACTTGCTTATTTATCTTTCTGTTGGATCGTATTGCTACGTTTTTGTTCTGTGGTTAGTGATACTGATAACGAATCAAAACATGCATAAATTTTATGAATTAATCACAATCTATCGTGCATGTTTGCTGTTTGATTTTGCTGATCGTATTTGGTATATATATATATATATATATATATATATATATATATATATATATATATATATATATATATATATATGTTATTAGTTCATCGTAAGGAGATGTTTTGTTTGTAATGGAGCTAAAAGCTGACGATTGATTGAATTTGGAGTAAATTGATTCAATTATTTGAACCATCAAGTTTCATTATGATCTTGAACTTTGAGCTATAATTTGGAGTAAACTGATATGAACTTGTGTTTATATTTCAATGATTTGAGCTTCAACATGAATTGTCCCTCATCCCTTCCATTAAACTCTACCTATCATTTCTGAAAATAAAACTAGCAATTTTCAAACTGAGATAAGAATTTCTATTTTTCACGCCGAATTTTTAATTTTTGTAGATTTAATATCGTTATCGATTATTGCTCGAAAAGTAAAGAAATCGATAGTGAATTCGGACATCATTAATGAAAAAACCTAAGGACGGATTCATATTTTCTTAATAAAAGTATTTGTTTCCATGATTATATCTATTTGTTTATTGTCCTTTTAATCAACTTATCTTCAGATTAATTTTTCTCACATATATAATTCTTAGAAAAGTTTTGTAATGTCTAGCTTACATGATTAAGATCAAGTTGACTGATGTAACGAGTGCTCCTGCAATTGTTCACCCAACAAGCACACCAAAACCAAAAGCTGATGAATGTATTAGTGCTTGCATAGTTACTCCTTCAGATTGGAGAATGCCATTTCTAGAAGAGAAAACTGAAGGTATGGATTAGGATTTAGGATGAGTTTTATAGACATTTTTTCTTTCCATATTCTACTAAGTCAACTATTATTCCAGTTGATTCAGGTCTAAAATATCATAATTTGTTTGCTGATGATGATCATATTGTGAAAGCTAAACCAAAGTCTGCAAGCAAATTATGTAAACAAAGTAGAAGATTCATGAAACCTACTGCTAGCCATTTAGCCAAGCAGATTAACTCGGTAGATATACAAACTCATAGTGGATGTGAAGCTGAAGACACCAAAAGACAGAAGTTAGAGATTGGGTTCTTGCGTAAGGTGGACTTGCTTGGACTTATAACTTAAAAATATATCTATTATTTTAGAAACTTTTGTTTTATATATATTATGAATAGAAACATATGTATAATTCCTTTTCGTCTTGCAAGTAGGTTGCACAACTGAAGCACCAGACCCCATTTTCACACAAGATGACTGCACTTGGGGCCTTTTTTTTTTTTTTTTTTTCTTTTACCATTTTACCTATGTGTGTAAAAGTGATTTGTGCATATTGTTGGTGTTGACAGACTTCACTGTTGGAGGCCGGCTCAAACCCTCGATCTAAAACTACCATCCCTAGAAAACCTAAATTGATGACAGAAGAAAGAGCTCGAAGGCGTAGGTAATTAATTGATTCAATTGTTGTTAAATTTTCTTTTTTACTGAGAATCTAACAATGACTAATTCAAGTTTATATCATCTTTGTACTAGGTTTAGGTCCCAGAGTGAACCTGAAGCGAATATTTATACTTTTAAAGCACTACCATTGAATAGAAAAGTGGGTATTCAATTCACAATCAACACTTAGCATGCTTGTATTTGTTTTGAAAATGAATTTTAAGCATGTGTGTCACATTTATCTTTTGGCAGATACTTGAGTCACCTTCATTGCCCATTCGTAAGAAGAGCATTCTTCATAATGTAAGCTTTTAATTAATGAATAATGCCACAGCTATTATACACACTAATAACTTCTCCATTTTCAGGTAGCCAACACACACAACTCTGTTCCTTTTTACCAATGAATATTTATACCATTTTCATTGCCAAATCATTTGAATACACAGATGGATGAATAGAGGTTTTTGCAAGTCAGAAGAATAGCAAAATTTATACTTATATATATGTACAATCTTCTTTTTAGTTAGTTACTACCTACCCTACCCATTAATCAATCAAAAAACTCGGTGTTGAAAAGTTTGTTACTACTGGATGAATGAATATGCATGTGAAACTGAAAAGATGTTATCAAAATTGACTATTAATAAGGAAGGTAATTTCAAACAAAACAAATCCTCCTACCTAGTTCCTACACACACCACATCACATGATTGCACATATATATATTACAGAAAGACAAACCCCCTATACAACAATATATGTACATATCAATTAATCCTTCTTCATTCCTAAGTTAGCCGCCAACATATACCACCTACCCTACCAAACATACATGTCATAACACTCTGTCTCGTTGTTGTTCAATCATTTTGCTATGTGTTTCAATCACAGATGTTTTCTCCTGCACCACCAAAACACTTCAACAAACACAAATTCCCAAAACCAATAATCTAATATAATAGGCCTTCAGGTGATTTGAGGAAACCAATGAGAGAGAGAGAGAGGGTGACCTCAGGTAGTGGGGTGGTGTCTTGAGGAAACCAATGCATCAAAACTCCCAAGTGCATCACTGCAGGTATCAATTTGAAAAGTACAGGGGTTGTCACCAGACTCAGAGCAGTGGTTCCAAGAAGAAGAAGGTACATCTTTCCCTAAAAGGACAAAAAAAAAAAAAAAAAAAAAAAAGTATTCAGCACATCTAGGCAAACATCAGATCATATCCTTAATTATTAATTCCAACCTCAACCAGATGTAGATTAGAGGCACGACTCAATAGAACAAAAGCAAACTCCCCAATTTGAGCAAGCATAATTCCAACCTACACCAAAAGAAAATTTTCAAACAACCCAACAAATTGATTTTTGGTTTCTGATACAAACTTACAAGAAATGATGTCTTAACACTATATCCAAATGCCTTTGTAATGACTGCAGAAACTGTAGTCTTAACAACTATAACCAGAATAACAGATGCTAGTAGAATATCCACATGTGTCCACAAGAACTGCACATGTATAAGCATCCCAATGCTAGATAGAAATAGAGCTGCAAATAAGTTTCGAATCGGCTCCACCTACAACAAGTTATGTGTATGTGTGTGTCATTCATTACTCATTATTATAACTTCTATAAGTTCCAACAAAAATCATATATTGGATAGAATACCTGATCTAAAGTATGTTGAGCAAAATCAGTTGTGGAAATCATAACACCAGCCACAAAAGAACCCAGCTCAAGACTTAGCCCTAATTTATCGCTACACTGAAAAAGATTAAAAATACATTTGTTTTAATAATGACTTTAACAGTTTTTTTCTTTAAAAAAAATCATTGGGAATATGACGAGATCATTTCATTTAACCTACCCAAGCGGATAATAAGCAAAAGGCAACTGCAGCTAGCTGGTAGAGTTCATTTGTCTGAATCATAAAAATAAATAAAGGGAATTAAGCTTTAGTTAACTTAAGAATTAAAAAGAAAATTGAAAATAGGAATAACAACTCACTTGAGATGACAGTTGCACCATCAGCTTGAGAAACCGTGGCATGAATGACCATGTTAAAAGTGATGCACCAAACAGATATGTTGACAAAGTCAACAGCCTGAGGTAAAAAGTGAAATCTTTGTTACTCCAATCACCATTAACAATAATAAATCAAATACAAAAAAGTCAAAAATGGAAGACTTACACTTTTCCCATTGAAGCCATCCCCTGCAAAACCCCACTGTTGCCACCCAAAACTGGCAGTAAGGCAAATAGTAAGCCAACAGCACAATCCTGGAAAATATCAAACAAGATTTAAAAAAAAAAAAAAAAATGTAACACAAGTCACAAGCATTTCTTTGTTTTTGACTATGTAAACTAATTACCTGAAAAATAAGTGTCCCTATAGTGACTTGACCATGAAGAGCATTATTACTGTTTTTCTCAACTAAAAATTTCACCACCTGTATAGAAGGAAAGTAAATAAAATAATCTCACTGTAACAAACCAGAAGTTAAAAAGACTCAAGAAAAAAAAAAAAAGAATTAGGTAACGAACCACAGCAGTTGATGACATTGACAGAAAGCAACCAACAAAAACACCCTCTGACAGCCCTGCTCCACATAACTGTAACCCATCATTAAATTAAGATAATAAACATTCACTCAATTAACATATATCTGTACATAAGAAGTTGAAAAGTACCACAGCCAATGTTCCACACAAAAACATAAGAATAAGTATTTGAAGTAGTCCTCCAAGAACAGCTACAGGGCCCACAGCTTTTAGCTGCATTAAGAACAAAAAAGGACAGATTTCGATTTACAACATGATGAAAGAACAGAAAGTTTTGACAAACTATTAAATGAAGCATCTGGAAAGAATAAAGTAAAACCTTTTGCATAGAAAACTCGAGTCCTAGAGCAAATAAAAGAAACACCACACCAAACTGTGCAAATGTCTCAACCTGTGATCATTTATGTAAAAGATTATTAATCTTGAAAATTGAAATTATTAATGTAAGTATAAAAATTACATTTCTGTAACATCAAAGTCACAACATACCTGAACCATCTCGCTTACAAATTTCAACCCACCAGGTCCAATCAGGGAGCCTGCAAGAAGATACCCAACAATAACCTAGCAAAAAAAAAAGTAATAAGTTTAAAGAACTTTTAATATAAACTATAAATATTTATAAAGCTTAGAACCAATAAATACAAACCGGTTGTCCCAAGCAAGAACAGATAATTCCACCAATAGCAGCAGAAACAATGATCACAACCAAATCTGAAATCAGTCTATAGACATGGAACATGAAAAACACGAGTTAATTTACTATAAAAATTACATATTTCAAGCATAGGTGATAGGATCACCAGCTTTTCATCAAAAAATACCTGAAACTCTAGTGAATCATGTAAAAACAAATATCTGAAACATACAAAAGATCTGACCTTACATCTACTTGAAGTATTGGATATTTAGATTTCTTGTTTGATATTACAAACACATTGTCCTGCAATTATATACAAAGCATATATAAGAATGTGCCAAAGAGTACCACACCAACATCAATATAAGAAGATCATGTTTTACAGTCAGTCACCTGTTTGTCTATCAGTGTTTGTGTGCCATCATCTTCACTATTAAGAAAAAGAATGTGTATAATCCAATTTAGTAGGAATCATTGACAAATGACATTCAGATACACAGTAGGCCTGTTAAGATACTTACGTTGTTTCTTGAGTGTCATTTTTGTTAGTCTTCTCATGTGTGATTTTAGCTACAGTCTCAAGTACAGCCTGCAAAAGGTCATGTGAAGAATGTCATATGTTATTCTACTTACTATCTTTGAGCTTTTTCCAGAAAAATTTCTTACTTCTTGATCAGTCACGCTGTTATTGAAGCTGCTTCTAGTGGAGCCTGATATTGTATGAAGTAAATGATGTGAGATACACACTAGACAACAGAAAACATTTTAATCTAACAGACTCGTTATCAACTGTAAGTATTGTAACCAGATCTTTACAGATGCATTTCGGAGGTAGTAGATTTAGCACAAAGGTCGAATAGTAACAAAAAGGAACACTTAATTGGCCATGATGTTGGTAATAAAGTTGTGAAGATTGGAAAGCATTGGGTGTATTACAAGAGAGTCATGACATTGGAAGAACTGAATCAACTTGTTAGACTTCAAATACTCATCTTGTTAACATGGAGTACCAAAAGAAAAGAGGAGATCAAGCAATAGAAGAGATCGGAGAAACTTATTTACCATCTGTGGACTCATTCTCTGAGAATTCCTTCTCTAAGACGCGATCAAAAATCTTTGCGATGCTAGCCTCGCCGGAATCCGGCGCCGACGAATTTACTAAAGTTCCGTAAAATCTTTCCCTAGTCTCCTGATCAGATCTCGCGGATACTAAGATCCTTCCGCAAAACGCGATGATTATCAATACGGATAAAACACAAGGAAACCGGCCATCCCGTTTTGCGAAAACCCTCGCCATTGAAGCAGATTTCAGAGAAAATCAACAAGATTCATGTAAAAAGAGAAACTCAATCCCTAGTCACGATTAACATATGAAAATTCAAAGTCAAAAACATTCCAGAAGGAAGAGAATCGTTTACGTAAAATGATGGCGAAAGAAATGGGGTTCGTTGCGATGATGATATAAAAATCGGCGATTGAAAGATTTATTCAGGCGGGATGGATCGTTACACAAACTATCCCACTACTGTCCGTTTGTTACATAATCTATCCCCATATTTAAGAAACTACAGATAGTACCCTGTTGTGGTGCACACAACTTTGGGGAGATATTTGAATTTGATCAAACCTCCGAGGGTAGATTATGTAATTTACCTTGTTTCCAAGTTCTACTTTTATCCATTAGTTGGATTGATAAGAGAATTTTAAGTGGCAACTCGTGATTGGAGAGAAAACAAAAGCATTTAATGATGAGTATGATGGTCCAAATAAAAAAGGGTGTCATAAATTAACCACGAAAATATCGTACTTCTCAGTTCTACTTGTTTTGTGAATACGCATATATGAAGACATGTATTATAATTTGTATACTACATGTTATTACAAAAGTGGTTTAATATTATTTTTCACAATAACTTTTATATTATTTATCTCATGTCAATATCCTACTGTGATGACTCTTCCAATAGTCTTCGACTAACAACATACAATGATGCAAATGTTGATTTGGTTCATTAGGACTTACCTTTGCCAATAAAAAGATATAAAAATTTAATAAATGCATTTAAGAAAAATTACGTTGCATAGTCACATTCACATATAATTAGTAAGTTGATATAATGGTGACTGGAAACCAAGATAATTAAGAGAAAGGCAAGTACACCCTTGATTAACTAATTTTAATATATTTGGCATCTTGTGTTATTAG